TGGAGCAGGGGTCACTGGGAGTGTGGGGGGAAGGATATTTGTGAATTTCCTGCATTGTGCGGGGGTTGGACTAGATGACCCTGGAGGTTCCTTCCAACTCTATGATCTATGATTATAAGTGTTGAACTCAGTAAGTCATCCACGTATGAATAGAGCAGCCACCAAGAACACCTCGCTAATTGCACAGACGGCAAGCCTGCAATGTCATCAGTTCTTCTTTTATGGACTTGCAATGGACCAAAATATGGAGCTCCTCAATGCTTACTTCTAAGTCAATGAACATTCAACTACAATCCTATAAGTTGCTGACAAGGTGGCACTTAACTCCAACTAGGCCACATCATAGGAACTCTCTAGTCTCACCATTATGTTTTATTTTATTTTTATTTTATTTTACATTCAATTTATATACCGCTCTAACCCCGAAGGGTCTCTGAGCGGTTTACACACAATTTCAGATTCCTAACTAGGGCCACATTCTTATAGGGGGGTGACAGCCTACCGGCACCCAGGCAGCAGGGCTAGTTGTTCTTCGGCTCCTTCCGCGCGGGCTTTGGGTGTTGGTGTTCTGCCTCCCGGCACCCTTGGGACAGGTCTTCCAGTCCAGCGGCTTCCAGCAGGCTCCATCGTGGTGCGCGGCCCCGCGCCAGCCACAGCTCCAGCTCACATCCTTTACTGGCTCCGCCGCACCGCCACATCACCACACCGCCACGACTCTGGCCGCGCCGGACTCCGTTGCTCACTTGGGTCGCCAGGCTGCTTGCTCACCGCACTGTTCCGCCGCCGCCGCCACCAATGCTCCTGCTGCACACCTCCCGAGGAGGAGGGTGCCCCCTGCCACCTAGGGGCAGGTACCCATTTTATCTACTTGCTATTTTAATGCTTTCGAACCGCTGGGTGGGCGGGAGCTGGGACTAGGGCCAGGAGCTCACCCCGGCCGCGGTCGGTCTCGAACAGCCATTGTGGCTGTTCGTTGATGTTACATTAGCAGGCGTTTTACAGCCTGCACCACCGCTCATCTGAGAGGTTCTCCTGTTAATATGACTTAATGAAAACTTGAAGCAGAAATAAGTGGGTATCTGCATGTTTTTGGAAATGGATCGTGGTTTTGGCAAATAATATACTGATGCTGAATAGTCGGAAGGTACAGTGTGATCAAGGACATGGAAAAAAGAATGGCAGGGAGAAAGCAGGAATTTCTTTATATGGGACAACATCCTGACACCAAGACTTGTATCTAACTATTTACAGGGCGGGGGTTTCCTGGTTCCCCCTCTTGCTGCAGTCTACTGATTCCCCCCTTTCCCAATTTTGTTTAGGTGGATCCACAGATCCTCAGGAACCGCACAGGGGGCAAAGTGGGGGGTCGGCAGAAATGGCCACCTAGAAATGCCTGTTCCACCAGAGGATGCCTGTTTGGATACATGCCACAATTCTCCCACCTACAGTCTGAAGTGGGACAGTACAGTTAACATCTCTATCCCCTGTGTGACTTTTACAGTCGTTTGGCTGTGCTCATCCAGAAGGCATTTGCTGTAGGGACTGTTTCTATAGTCTTGATCCCAGCAGTCCAGACACGCGGATGATTCGGGCCCGTGTTTGCTTATATCTCTCTTTTCAAACAGTTGCTTTGAAGTGGATCACAGTGATAAAGAAAGACAAGCCCTGATCATAAGCTTACAATCTAAAAAGATAAGACAGACAAGGGAAGGGAAGGGAAGGGAAGTAGAGGGGAAAGGGAAGCGAGGCCAGTCGGTTCAACAGAATTTACAGGTAGTGGGGCAGGCTGCACTACCTTCATTGGTATTCTTGCTCGGGTGGAAGAGATTTGACTACCCCATGCCAGTTTGGTGTAGTGGTTAAGTGCATAGACTTAACCACTACACTGGGAGAACCGAGTTTGATTCGCCACTCCACTTGCAGCTGCTGGATGACCTTTGGCAAACCATAGTTCCGTCAGAGCTGTTCTCTCAAGGACAGTTCTGGAAAGAGCTCTCTCAGCCCCACCTATCTCACAGGGTGTCTGTTGTGGGGAGGGGAAGGGAAAGGGGTTTCTGAGCTGCTCTGAGACTCCAAGTGAAGGGCGGGGTAGAAATCCAATCTCTTCTTCTTCTTCTAAGTATTTTGGCTAGTGAGAAGAGTCCAACATATCCTTTCCTTCATTTTTTGCAGTCGCTGGGTTATTAGAGCGGAGTTCTTTCTGGCAGGGAATGGGGAACTGTGCTCCCTGCATCTGTTTCTTCTCCGGCTGATTAATGGGGCCGGGCCAGACTTCCCCCTGCCATTGTGTTCTTCATGTCAGGAAAGGGTGAACTGCCTCTGCCCGGTAGACCTTAGTCCTTTGTCTGGGGACAGAAGCCGGTGCCCTCTTTCTCACTTTCTGCAGTCTTAGGATGGTTCGTTGAGGGAACTAAAACCAACGGGTCAGTCTCTGCAGCTGACTTCCCACACTGATACACAATGGAGAGAAGGAAGATAGGGTTTCTGGTCTTTGGCGCTTTGAACGATGGCGGCGTCTCTGGGGTCCTCCGAGAGACGTGTGCCATGAATCGGGGATTAGGAGGGAGCGTGATGGTGCACGCTCCCCCATGAAGCCCATAGGCAATGAGCTTCTAGCCAGGGGGCTTTGGAGAGCCCTACCTCCGGCCGGTAGCCGGTACAGGGGGGCTACTCTCTGCCCTGAAGGTCCTACCCTGATTCCCAGTATTGGATTGGAAGCGACCACCGGAACAAGCATTTGGAGGTTTAGCAATTTTCTCTGCCTGGCGTGATCCCAGGGGCCGTTTTAGGACCTGGCTGGATCAATTCAAGGATTGATGAGTGAGTTGTCATTGAAACGAGACACTAAAGCCTAGAAGTGAAGTCCCTCCACTACAAGCGTACAAACGAAGGGGGGGAGGGGACGCTCTATCTCCCGACGTTTTAAGCAAATGCAAAAGCAAGGAGGGAGGGACTGATCAAACTGTGGCGATGGACTGTAGCAGAGAGTTTTTCAAAAAGAAAGCAGAGCATTTAAACAGACCTTAGAGACTTTGGCATTCTTTCTCGGCTGATGTAAACATCCCCAAAAGATGGCGATGAGAGGCGAAGAGGGAGGCGGGACCAATGCTTTCTTCAGAAAGGAGGACAGTGGAAAGTTAGGTTATGACCTAACCATAGACTCTGTCTTTAGAGTGAAGCGTGGGCCCTCTAGTGGCTAAAGTGAGAAGTGATCTGGATCTGTACTAAAAGCAGCTACACTTTTAAAGGGACAGTACGTTGATCATAGAGACATATGAATGGCAAGGAGATTCTAAGTTTAGTTTTTTGTGGCTGGACTGGCAAGCTGATCGAAAAGCGGTTTTTTTGGAGTAAAGGGTTCACTACCCTAACTTTATGTGATCTGCTTGCTAAGAGAAAGGTTAGAATCTCCAATGAGCGTGTTGTAATTGCAACAAAAGGAAAGACTCTTTTGATCTAAGGAAGCAAAGATCTCCCAGGAAAAAAGGAACTTGGTTTATATCATGAATGGAATAGAAACTAAAAGATAATTGAAGAAATCAGATACATCGAAGACGGATGAAGAAAAACGTGTTGTAATGTTCTTATTGAGGGAACATTGGTTTTAAAAGATTTTGCCTAGGGGGGGGGAGTAAAGGGTGGAGATGCTAAATTTTTCTTAAGGGCTGTGATTATTTTGTTATAGCTTTGGAACTAATCTCTGTTCAGTCAGATAAGCAGGTTTTGTCAACAGAAGCGATGATTGGGGGTACTCTTCATGTTTGAAAGCAAAAGTATAAGAGTAATAACTATGTTTTAAGCATTGTATAACCTCCATTCTTGGGTTTTTAGTTAGGTTTTCTTTACTTTTTCCTATAGATTGTAGATTCTCCCTCCCCAATTTCTGTTGTAGTTTTATAGAAATGCAAATAAAAAATTCCCCCTCGGGGAGCTTTAAAAAAAGAGAGAGAGAGGAGGAAAATAATTCTTTTCCTGAAATATCCCCCCTGTCCAAGTAGGAGTTTGGGAAGCTTTCACCAGAATGAGATGTTCAAGATGACTTACCTAAAAGAGTATTTGTTTACTTACTTTATGTGTATCCAGCCTTTCTCCCTGGTGGGGACCCAAAGCAGCTTACATCATTCTCCTCTCCTCTGTTTTATCCTCACAACAACCCTGTGAGGTAGGTTAGACTGAAGGTGTATGACTGGCTCAAGGTCACCCCGCAAACTTCCATGGCAAAGTGGAGATTCAGACCTGGGTTTCCCAGATCCTAGTCTAACACTTTAACCACTATGTGGCGGAACAGACCTGCTCTGAGTTCTGACAGCCTCCTCCTTGGCTGGCGCCAGTTTCTGGAGGGTGCTATTCCACTTGGTTCCACTAGGGTATGCTGCCACCACTGTCCTCTTTCCAGTAAGAGTGTGAGAGGACTTCTGGATGAGAGACTTAAATATGTCTTTGGACCTCTCTTCTGCTGTTTGTACTATGTGTGAATGTTATGAAAGAGACAGAGGGCCCAGTTTTGATTCTCGTTCCCCCAGCCTTGTGCCTTTTCAAGTGGCCCCCCACCAAGCACATACAGCTGTTTCAGCACTTGAAAAAGTGCTGCAGGCCCAGTCAGAATCGGATCTTCACAGCATTTTGTCTTTAAAATGGTGTCGGCCATCTTCATGCCGGCAGTGAGGATGCCATCGCATTTAATTTGGCCCAGACAATACAGAAGAGAAACTTAGTGTATTTTCTTGCCAATGTAGGGTAGGTTCTTGTTACAGGATGATTTAAGTTAAAACGGATTTTACCTTTGCTGGTGAAATTGATCCAAGTGAGTCAAGGTTTCATTTGTTTCAGTCTGGGATTTCTATTCCTATCATCTCTTTATTTAGTAAGAAAGTGAAAGTAGTTGGTAAACTATTTGGAAAGGGGGGTGGGTTATGTTTCTCTTTGGCTTGAAAAGCAATGTTCAGTAGCATGTCCTGAGGGGAAAAAGCAAGCATTGACTGAATTGTTTTTGCACACAGGGTCAACATTATGAAGAGGAAAAAAGAGCTTTAAGCCACGAAATAATGGCCCTCAATAACCACTTAATAGAAGCCAAGGTGACAATTGATAAATTGTCCGAAGATAATGTAAGTATTGAATGGCAGACATTTGTCATGGTCATGCACAAAAATACGAGTCTGAAATTATGGATAACGGGATCAAAAATACTGAGTTGTTATGACTTTCACTATTATTAATTACTCCATTTGTCCTGCTCCGTTGATCTGCCTCAGTGACTACTCTTAAAAGGTTTTCTTCTAATCCT